TGTAACTGCTAGACTATATTACAGCCCTATGAACACGGGGGCCAGTGACCCCTTACTCAGATAGAAAGAGTGTAGAAACTTTCTACAATCCATGAAAATGAAAGTTTAGGGGGAAGGTTGATAACATTTGTAAAAGAACCATAGTAAATACCCTTAAAATATTCTGTAAATGAAATTTTAAAAAGTTTGTATCCTTATATAAAGAGATCATTTAGAGTCTTAAGAAAAAATGTAAACACACCAATAAAAATGGGTAAACAGTTTGAACAGGTATAGCTGGCTTTTGGCAAAGAAGAAAGACAGGCTCAGGTTATGTAGTTAAATGGAGAGGATAGAGGAAGGTTATTACAACATAGTTGAGAAATGAGAAAACGGGAAGCAGTCTCAACACCTCCTGGGCAGGCCAAATGGAGGCCAGCCCATTGCTCATGAACAAGAAGGTCCTTTTCTCAACCCTTCCCAGATGATGCTCCATTACTAATTATATTGTTTTACAGTGCCTAAGGCACTTGACTGCTAACCAAAAGGCTGGCGGTTCAAACCCACCAGCCACTCCTTGGAAGGAAGGTTGGGCAATCTACTTCCATAGTGATGCTGCCTCAGAAACCCAAGGAGGGGTCACTGAGTCGAGCCCCACTCGACGGCACATAACAGAAACAACAGTTTTTATTTTAAGACAGTTAGGTTTTTTTCCTAAGAAACTGTCATCTAGGACCTGAGAATATAAAAGGACTCACTGGAGAGATACTCTGGATGAATTGTCAGGTTTGTGTCTCCTATGTGTACCAGGGCACCTGGCAAAGTGTGAAGAGAAAAAGTCAGGGAGGTTGCAGGCTGGCTGCCAAGCTGGCCAGGTATCTGCGGTGCCCCCAGAGATCAAGGTTTCTGCTGTTACCTTGCTCATCTGTCCTTAGCTAGATGGCTCTTCATCTTCCAGCATTGTATGAATGTTCTAATCGGGAAGAAGGGAAAGATGAAGAGCAAAATGCTGTTTACCACCACTTTTCCCCACTTTTAAAAACTTTCGCAGAAACTTTACTCAATGACTTATGATTATATCTTTATAGGCCAGAGCTTTCAGCCTGCAAGAGAGACTTGTTTTGAGCTAGGTATGTTGCTGTTGATTACTGAGAGCACTTAAGGAATGAATAATGTGTCAGAAGCTTTTGATGGCTCTGGGGTTCTGCTCATCTTGCTGTCCTTTATCTCATGAGGACCGGTGTGTGACCCACATCTAGGCCATGCTAGGACTCCATGCACCACACCACTGCCTTTCTCTGTCACTTCTTTCTTCCTCACCAGCTTCTGCTTAGCTCCTTCCTTCATGTGCCTCTCTTCTGCTGCTCCATGTAACTCTTTGCAAAAAGGAGAAGGGAGCAGTGGACTCTACCTCCTCTAATTTTGCAAGGGGGAGAGAAAATCATCATTAACAGCCCAAGGCTGAATCCTATGAGTCAGAAGTCAGACATGCAACTACCTTCTAACCTTTTTACCAATTCTGACACAAACTGTCCCTCTCACAGCATTCACCCTCTTGGGTTCAATAATTTGTTGCAATAGCCACACAGAACTCACAAGCAATACTCAGGATTATAGGGTTTATTAGGGAAGTAACAGGTTACAATTCAAGTTCAGGAATGCTCAGGATACAGTTCTTCCATCAGGACGACCTCCCATCTGCCATTCCCGTGCCTCTCTTTGGCTCTTACCCTCTCAGCTGGCCTTTGTCCGGCTCAGGCAAATGTTACAAAGCTCTTTTAACCCTGCCGATAGGTGCTCAGAGAGGCACCCCACTTTGTGAGCAAGGCTTCTGCCCAAAGGCACTCAGCTTTCTTGCCCAGTGGACCAGCAAGCCTGCCAGTCTGTTGTGGTTCTGCTTCCACTGTATCTCTGCCATTGTCTCAGTTTGCCAATCTCCTCCACTCCTGGCAGTGAGATACCTCTTCTACCTTGGAGAAGGTTCATTTTAAGCCTAGCAAAATGACAAAACTGACTAATCCCCACAATAAGGTTCCATACACCTTATTTCCATGGTCCCACCCCCACAAGGGTGTCGTGCACCTTTTTTGCATTACTAACAAGCTATCCAATCCCCTTGCTGGACCACAAGCACCTCATGTTTACATAGTTCCTCCCAGTCATTTGGTGGGAGTCATAAACACAATGGCTAGAAGAGCCTTACACTGCAAGTGTGCGCATTACATTCGAACTCATACACAGAAACTCTGCTGTACGCAGGTGGCAAAAACCAAGCATTTGTTTCCTGCTGGACAAGCCTGAGCCGCCTTTGTGGTATTGCTAAACATCCTTACTTGCATAAATAACAACTCAGGAGACAACCCTGCTTGGCGGGACTCTGAGGTTCTCAGATGTGGAAATTATAATTGGCAGACACATTGAATGGCTTGCTTCTCTCAAAAGAAATTGCCAATAAGTAGTGGTGGTGTTGTTGTTATCTGCCATCGAGTTGGACCTGACTCATTGTGACCCCTCCTTGGATTTCTGAGGCAGTATCGCTACGGAAGTAGATTGTCCCATCTTTCTACCAAGGAGTGGCTGGTGGGTTTGAACCGCCAGCCTTCTGGTTAGCAGTCAAGTGCCTTAGGTACTATGCTACCAGAGCTCCCGCAAATAAGTAGTATATAATGGAAAAAAAAATCATCTCATCAGAAAGAAGAAGAAAAAGAAAAATGTAAGCTATTAAAAATACTCCACTTAAATTTGTAGACTTCTTCAGTTGAATTCAATTGAAGATATATAGTGTTGGCTAAAATATAGGAAATGACACTGTTGTTGGGATTGCAGATGGTTTCTAGAGTATAACTTGTTGGTATATGTTAATAAAGGAGTCATGGTGGGGCAATGGATAAGCCCTTGGCTGCTAACCAAAAGATTAGCTATTTGAACCTACCAGCAACTGTGGAAGAAAAGACTTGGTGATCTGTTTCAGTAAAGATGACAGCCTTGGAAACCCAATGGAGCAGTTCTACTCTGTCATATAGAATAGCTGTAGGTTAGAATCAACTGCATTGCATACAACAACAACATGCATCAGTAGCCTTAAAATATACATGCCCTGAGGCCATCTGGATGCAATGATGGGTCTCTCCTCATCCAGTGCAAAGAAGAATGAAGAAAACCAAAGACACATGTAAACAATTAGTCCAAGTGACTGGTACACCATGTGACCCTCAGCCTATACAACTGTGAGACCAAAAGAACTAGATGGCGTCTGGCTACCACTATCAACTACTTAGAGAGGGATCTATGTAGGAGATCCTGGGTAGAGTGGGAGAACAATGGAGCAAAACTCAAAATCATGAAGAAAAAAAAAAGGACCAGGTTTGCTGGTCTGATAGAGCTTGGTGAACCCCTGAGACTATGGCCCCTAGCTGTCCTTCAGGCTGGAATTGAACCCACTCCTGTGGCTTCCAGTCAAACAAAAGATAGGCATATGAGCTAAACATTTACATTAGGTAGATACACTTCTTGGAGAGTTCAATCATAGGAGAATAGAAAGGCTGTGCATGCACTGGGAGACAGCTCAGGGGGCAGGAGTGCATGGGAGGGAAGAACACAGGGAACAGATGGCTATGGGGAGGAGGTGGGAGGAGAGCTGTTGCATTGTGGGAGATTACAGTCAGTGTCATCAGGCAAAGTTTATGTGAACTGCTGTATGGAAGATGAATTTGCTCTGTAAACTTTCACCCAAATCACAATAAAATACACACACACACACACACACACACATGCCCTTTAACCTAGCAATTCCAATTCTAGGAATTTAACCTGAGGAAATTTTCAAGGATGTTTGGAATATTTTGTTGTAAGAATGCTTATTATGACATTAGTTGTATTACATTGGGCAAATCTGCTACAAAAGATCTCTTTAAAGTGTTACAGAGCAGAGATGTTACTCTGAAGACTAAGGTGCACCTGACCCAAGCCATGATATTTGCAGTCGCCTCAGATGCATATGAAAGCTGGACAATAAATAAGGAAGACCAAAGAAGAAGATGAATTGATAGATTTGAATTGTGGTACTGTTGAAGAATATTGAATATACCATGGACTGCCAGAAGAACAAACAAATCTGTCTTGAATGCAGTTACAGCCAGAATGCTCCTTAGAAGTGAGAATGGCCAGACTTTGCCTCTCATACTTTGGTCATATCAAGAGAAAGATACCATGCTTGGTAAAGTAGGTGGTCAGCGAAGAAGAAGAAGATCCTGAATAAGGTGGAATGACACAGTGGCTAAAACAGTGGCTCAAGTGTAGCAATGATTGTTGGGCTGGATTTCAGGACCAGGCAGAGTTTTGTTGTCCTATACATAGGTTCGTTATGAGTTGGAACTGACTCGATGGCACCTAACAGCATATTTTTGACAAGTTGAAAAGAGCCAAAAAATATAACCCAGAGTGAATTTTTAAATAAATATTGGTACCTCTCCTCTATATATTGGAATATGAGATATGATTTAAAATGGTAACAGTGGCAGCTTTTTAATGACACAGAGTGATGTTCAAGACATTGTTAAGGGAAAAAGCAAGTTTTAAAATAAAGTGTACTATGTGACCGTGTTGTCTAAAATATAACATTTAGGTTAGGGGACTATGAGATATTTTTACTGCCTTTGGTTTTCAGTATTTTCTAAATTGCCAATTACTGAACGTGTTTACTGAGTGGCTTACTCCCATAAAGTAATAAGAATGAAGATAAAAATGAAGCTTTAGAAATTACACTTCAGTATCTCTCCAATCATTCTTAACTACCAGATCATCATAGACACTTTTGGGGGCGATGAAAACTATATTATATCTTCCCTTGTGGGATTACTAGAGAAAATCAGTTACTCAGGCAAATGATGAGACTGAACCAGGCACCTAAGGCCCTTAAACCAAAGTACCTGCTTGTTTTCCACTGCATCAAGTCTTTTGTGCATTTGCATGGGAATTGTTATTTTACAACGGCTCAAAGTACCTTCTCTTTCCTTCCTCAGGGCTGCTGGAGCGATGTGGTTGGAAGACGGTCTTCGTTGCTGATGTGCATCCTCCTCAGTGCTCTGGGTTATCTCATGCTGGGAGCGTCCACCAATGTGTTCCTCTTTGCTCTCGCTAGAGTCCCTGTGGGTGAGTTCTTGTCCATGTGTGTGGTGTGTGTAAGTGTGTTTCCAATAGGTGTAGATATGTATGTGTCTTAGTTATCTAGTGCTGTTGCAATAACAGCACTACAAATTGGCCAATAAAAATCTTACGGATCACAACAGAACATTGTCTGACTCACTTGTTTTAGACATGTCATCAGGAGGAATGAATCAGTAGAGTAAAGCATCATATTTGGTGATGTAGAAGGCCAGCAAGGGTGAGGGAGACCCTCAGTGAGTGGGATTGGCACAATAGCTGCAGCAATGACTCCAACATGTTAGTGATTGTGAAGGTGACACAGGACGGGGCAGCATTTCATTCTGTGATATGTAAGGATGCCATGATTCAGAGCCAACTTAGTGGCAGCTGTCATACTATACCAGTGTTTGTAGAGCCTGCTTCTCCCCATTTGTCATTGCTTCTTTGATTGGAGCTTACTTTATAGCAATTATAATAATAACTATAAGAACAGCAGCTGTTGTTTATTGAGGACTTAACATATTCCGGGTGCTCTGCTACCTTGTTCAAATCTAGTAGATGATCAAGTCCAGAGCCCTTTAGAGTCTGTCTGTGTATATTACTTTGCTGTTGCAAGTTCTCTTTGTTGTCCCCTTGTTCTTTCTTCATTCTGTCAATAGGAAATTTGTTAAATGTCTTTAGCTAAAACTATAGTGACAACTCCCTCCCTTAGTGAGTGTCTCAGTTGTTTAGTGTAACAGAAATACCACAAGTACATGGCTTTAACAAACAAATTTACTCTCACATTGCAGGAGGCTAAAAGTCCGGATTCAGGACACCAGCTGTAGGGGAATGCTTTCTCTTGCTGTTGGCACTGGAGGAAGGTCCTTGTCTCTTCAGCTTCTACTTCTTGGTTCCTTAGAGATCTCCATGTGTCTTGACATCTGTTTTACCCCATCTTTCCTCTGCTTGATTGTTTAATCTCTTTTATAACTCAAAATAGATTGATTTAAGAGATACTCTACACTAAACCTGCCTCATTAACACAATAACCAGAAGGCCGGCGGTTCAAACCCATCAGCCACTCCTCGGAAGGAAGATGGGGCAATCTATTTCTGTAGTGA